GGGTTGCTGTGAAAGAGCGAATAAGGAGTGTCCAGTTGCATGTGGGGCTGCGTAAAGGCTCCCCTGGGGAGTTCACTTGTACTCAAAGCCTTTCTTTGGGGGCACTTTTGGATGGGCGAAAGGGTCTTGTAAGGCGTTTTCTTTGGCCCGATTATTCAGTCATCTCCGGTGCCGGCTAGGGCTATATTTAGGCTTGCTGTGAAAGAGCGAATAAGGAGGATCCATTTGCATTTGGTTCTGCACAAAGGCTCCCCTGGGGAGTTCAGCTGTACCAAAGCCTTCTTTTGGGGGCACTTTTGGATGGGCGAATAGGGCTTGGAATGAGTTTTCTGGGGCCCGAGTTTTCAGTCGTCTCCCATGTCGGCTAGGGCTATATTTAGGGTTGGTGTGAAAGAGCGAATACGGAGGGTCCAGTTGCATGTGGGGCTGCATAAAGGCTCCCCTGGGGAGTTCAGATGTACCTAAAGCCTTCCTTTGGTGGCACTTTTGAATGGGCGAAAGGGGCTCGGAATGCGTTTTCTGGGGCCCGAGTTTTCAGTCGTCTGCCATGCCGGCTAGGGCTATATTTAGTGTTGCTCGGAAACAGCGAACCTGGAAGGTCCAGTTGCATTGTGGGCTATAAAGGCTCCCCTGGGGAGTTCAGTTGTACCCAAAGCCTTCCTTTGGGGCACTTTGGATGGTCCAAGGGGAATCGCAATGCATTTTCTGAGGCCCGCTTTTTCAGTCTTCTCCCATTGCCGAGGGCTATATTTAGGCTTGCGGTGAAAGAGTGAACGCGGAGGGTCCAGTTGTATAAGGGGCTGCATAAAGGCACCCCTGGAAAGTTCACTTGTACCCAAAGCCTTCCTCTGGGGGCACTTTTGGATGGGCGAAAGGGGCTTGGAATGAATTTTCTGGGGCCCGAGTTTTCAGTCGTCTGCCTTGCGGGCCAGGGCTATATTTAGTGTTGCTGTGAAAGAGCGAATACGGAGGGTCCAGTTGCATGTGGGGCTGCGTAAAGGCTCCCCTGGGGAGTTCAGCTGTACCCAAAGCCTTCCTTTGGGGCACTTTTGGATGGGTGAATGGGGCTTGAATATGTCTTGCTTTATGTTGTCAAGCAACTCGGTCCTCAGGCCCTATGGATCCCGTTCTTCCCAAATCGAAGACAAGCATATCCAGCTCCTTCTCAAGGCCATAGGGCCTGGGCCAAAAGGCACATCCAGGTCACCATGGGCGTAACAGCAAAAGCCTTCGATGGCTGTAGCAGCAGAGGGGCCGATGGCGTGGCAGAAGGAGCAGTAAAGGAGCCCGCAGCTCCCTCACAGTCTGGCAAACCACACGTTTCTGACTGTGGTCCCACAGGGCTCTTTAAGGCCTCAGAGACTGCTCGCCAGGTGCCGAGCAATCCCACTGCAACCTTGTCGTTTCTAGTTGCAGAGTCCCACACCTTGACCTCAGTTTGGTCCCATGTTTCAGGATCATAAACTGTCCGATTGTTAATAAGGAGAATAAGCTGTGAGGTGACCAGGACAGTCTTTGTTCCTAAGGACGTATGATTCCCCATAATGCGCAGCTGCTTAGCAGCGAGGGGCAGTTGTGTGCTGGCTCCGCTTCTCTCAGCTCGAGCTTCTCTCCAGCTCTGGCGCGCCTGTTTCCAGTACGAGCTTCTCTGAGCAGTTTGCTGAGTTTGGCCGAACCTATCTTCATGAGGCAATCAAAATGCCTGTTCCCGTCCTGGTCTCCATTCTGCCAGCCTGTTCCTCTTCACTTCTTTTTCCTGCTTCTTTATTGATGTAACTTCATCGTGTTGCCTTTTTTTCTTCTTCTTTCTTGAGGGCAGGCTCCCCTCTTATCCCCTTCTCTCCACAGCAGTTCTTTTCAAAACAACTTTTCATTGCTCAAACAACTTTGAATGTAACAACAACAGCAAACACCCAGGAGCTTCCATGCCTTACTGGCTGGAGAACAAGAAACCCAAGCCTGCATGGAGTCTCCTGAATCACCCTTCTTGGTTCCCTCTAAACTCTTTTACATTCCTGATGGCCTCCTCGTTAAGGGTCTAATTTTATCTCAACCACAGGGCTTTCCAAGCCCCATGGCCACACTCCCAAATCTCCCCCTTCTTTATTAATATCAACCATTTTCTCCACACGAATTACCACTCCATATATCACAATCCCTCATCTTCTTTTGAGTATCATTAATCCGTGTCTTGTTTTCAGATTTGGCCAAGGCCAATTGAACCAGAAGAGAATGCTTTCACAATATTCTCTGCAAGATTTATAAACAAGTTTTTAGCAATTATTGGACTCCCATATCTAGAATATTTCACCCAACTCATTGTTCCACACAATGTATACTAATCATCCCCAGCAGCATCACATACATCAAATTTGATTGATCAAAGTAGATAACCAATCCTCTAGGTATAGAGGATTATATATACTTGCAGTGCCGCCTCTTCTGCAAGTGGGGGCTGCACGCCAGTGAGGGGGGCACAGGGTCATAACGGGTGACAACATCGACATCCACTACGCCACCAAGGGCCTGCAAGGTGCGTCCCCAGAGTGTCCCCAAGGTGCCCCCAAGGTGTCTGCAAAGTGTCCCCAAATAGCCGCCAAGGTGTCCCCAAAGTGTCCCCAACCTGTCCCCTCCCTTTTGTCGCCCCCCCCAGGCTGACCCAAGCTGCACCTCGAGGTGTGGCACCAGGGCTCCCTGGGGCATAGCGAGCTGATGGGCTTCAGCTCCTGCCAGATCCCCAGCACCCCGGGGTGCCACGCGCTGACCTGCGTCACCTGGCGGCCCCAGGGGACCTGGCGGGAGCGCCTGAGCCAATTTTGGCTGGGGGGGGGGGGGCCCCCAACCGCTTACCCCCGACCCCGGTTACGGCGACCGCATTCGGCTGCGCACCGGGGCCGCCGGCACCGTGCGCCTGGAGCTCGGCGTCATCCTGGGCCACTTCGAGCGCTACGGGGTGCAGTGCTGAGCCCCCCCCCCGCGGGGGGGACACAGGGGAGCACCGAGCACCCCCAAGACCGACGCCCCTCCCCCCAACTCCACCAGCCCCGGTACTTGGGGGTCTCGGGACTGGTGCAGGATGGAGACGCGGGGAAGGGGCCCGGGGAAAAGGGTCTTTTTGGGACAGGGGGGGGTACTGCTGGGGGGGGGTCCTGGTTGGGAAGGGGGTTCTGGGGGGGCAATTGGGGGTGGGGGTTAATGAGGGGGGCTGGAGGGGGTAATTAGTGGGGATGGGGGAAATTGGAGGACTGGTTGGGGTAATTATTGGGGTGGGGGCGATTGGGGGTGCTGGTGGGGTAATTATTTGGGATGGGGGGCAATTTGGGGGGTCTGTAGGGGGCAATTGGGGGACTGGGGGGGTAATAATTGGTGATGGGGCAATTGGGGGGGCAATGGGGGGAGAAGGGAGTAAGGGGATGTAAAAGGGGGGGCGGGGGTGCAGTGGGGGGGGCGTGGGGCAATAGGGGGGGTCAGACAGGGCAATTGGGGGGGTCAGACGGGGCAATTGGGGGAACAAGAGGGTGGGGGGGGCTGCGATGGGCTTGGGATGTGCAGTGCAAGGGGGTGGGGAGCTCCTTGGAGGGGGTGCAGAAACCCCTGGGGGGGGACATGGACCCCCCCTCTGGGGTGGGGTGACACCGTGTGTGTGTGTCCCCATGTCCCCCCCCCCCCGTGTCCCCGCAGGGCATGGCGGAGCTGCACGTCATCAGGCAGCTGGTGGGGGCCAGCGGCTTCCCCCAGCGCAGCCTCTTTTGCAAGTGGGGGCTGCACGCCGGTGAGGGGGGGGCACAGGGTGACAACAGGTGACAACATCGACGTCCACTACGTCACCAAGGGCCTGCAAGGTGCGTCCCCAGAGTGTCCCCATATTGTCCCCAGGGTGTCCCCAAATAGCTCCCAAGGTGTGTCCCCAAATAGCCCCCAAGGTGTCCCCAATGTGCCTCCAGATTGTCCCCAAATTATCCCCAGAGTGTCCCCAAAGTGTCACAAAATAGCCCCCAAGGAGGGGGCTCCCCTCTGGAGCTCTCCTCAGGCCCTCCCCCCGGTGCCCCCACGTCCCTCGGGAGCCCCCTGAGCACCCCCAGACCCTTCTGAGCACCCCCAGAGCCCTCCTTAGGGCTCTCCCCTGCACTCCCGCATCCCTTGGGAGCTCTTTGACCACCCCTGAAGCCCTCTGAGCACCCCCAGACCCCTCTGAGCATTCCCAGAGTCCCCAAAGCCCTCCTCAGGGCTCCCCCCATTACACCCCCTGCCCCTCAGGAGCCCCCTGAGCACCCCCAGAGCCCTCCTCAGGACTCCCCCCTGCACCCCCACATCCCTCGGGAGCCCTTTGACCACCCCCGGAGCTCTCTGAGCACCCCCAGAGCCCCCTGAACACCCCCGAAGACCCTCTCAGGGTTCCCCCCATTACCCCCCCACCCCTCAGGATCCCCCTGAGCACCCCCAAACCCCTCCGAGCATCCCCAGAGCCCCCTAAGCCCCCCCGTAGCCCTCCTCAGGGCTCCCCCTGTTACCTTCCTGTCCCCTCAGGATCCCCCTGAGCATCCCCAAACCCCTCTGAGCACCCCCGGAGCCCTCTGAGCACCTCAGGAGCCCCATAAACCCCTATAGCCCCCCCTCAGGGCTCCCCCCGTTTCCCCCCTGTTCCTCAGGATCCCCCTGAGCACCCCCAGACCCCTCAGAGCACTCCCGGACCCCACCCCCTCGGCCCCCCCCACGCCCCTCGGAGCCTGGCCCCGACCCCATCTCCCTCCCGAGCCCCCCCCCCCCCCAGGCGGCCCCCACCTGGCAGCCACAACTTGGGGCGCAGCAGCACCTCCAGCGTCGCCCTCTCGGGGCTCTCCTTTGAGCCCCGCACCTCCGCGGGGCCGTACAGCCCGGCCAGCACCGAGGTGTCACCTGCGCGAAGGGGGACACAGAGGGGACGGCACTGCCACCGGGCCCCGAAAAACCCCGGGGACAGAACAATAATGGATGATGCTCAGAGGGCCTTACGGGGCGAGTGAGCTCTCCAGAAACACCTTTTACCCTGATCTCCTGGGAGACAGCAGACTTCTCCATGGGTTGGGTCAGGCCGGCATATGCGGCCCTCTGTTCTGCTCAGAAGGGAGTCACTTATGACAGTAACCCTTCTCTTCTTCTTGATGGAGGTGGTCGTGATACTGGGGAAGGCTGACTTGCCCTAGAAAACCCCTCCAACCTGGATGGACCTTCATGCACATCATCGTTTGTGTGTCCATTACTTCCAGAGTCTGTTGTTTCAGGGCACCTGAAAGGAAGGTGAGGTAGGCAAGGAGGGGTCCGCCTGCTGCCCCGAGCAGATCTAAACTTCCATCCCTTCGTCACTGAGATGCACTCCTTCTGCCTGATGGCCAGAGGGTAGGGGATCCTCCATTTCCTCTGCTGTGTCTGCCTGACGCATCTGTCCCAGGGCTGGCACAGTACAGTTCAACCTTCTCCGACTCCCTGGTGCTCCTCAGCCTGCCCACCTCCTCCCGAAGCTCTGCCAGGAGGCTGAGCAGTTCTTCTACCTGGGCGCACCTACCACAGGTGGACTCACAGGATGGGATGTCAGGAAGAATTTCTTCATGCAAAGGGTGGAACCGGCTGCCCAGGGCACTGCTGGAGTCCCAGGCCTGGAGCTATTAAAGAAATGCGTGGACTTGGCGCTAAGGGCCGTGGTTTTGTGGTGGGCCTGGTGGTGTTAGCTGACGCTTGGACTTGAGCTGAAGGCCCTTTTCCAAGCGCAAGGGTTCTGTGACTCTTTCACTGATTGAGTAGGCACCATGCAGTCACCGGGCCCAGGGAAAAGACGTCCATGGTGGCCTCCAAGTTAGCTCAGCGTCATGGCACCGAGTCACTGTGAAGGAGCTGCTGGAATAACGAGACAACAACCTAGTTCTATTAAATATATATATTGCTCTTTTGAGGACTGCTGCGGGGCTAGCGGCAACACGGCAGTGGAAATCTCCGTCCTGACGTTGCGGTATGCCTTGACGTCAGCATCACGGTGGTTTCAACTGCCCCGGAACGGACCATGGGTTCCGGGTCTTTCTCTGAAGGCCGGAGGACTGCAAAAGAAAGAAGAGCAGAGATGAAAACCCACTCGTTGCAGAGATCCCCAGGCATCCCCTGCAGACCATGCCAGCCCCACTCGACTCTTCCCCAGGCCAGGAGGAGCAAGAGGGACAAAGGAATCCGTTGAAAGCTGCTGCTCAGCAATGTCCCAAATGCAGCCACCAGTCCTTCCCCACCTGCGCACCACAGGTCAAGTGGGGCACCTTCACAAGCTGGTTCCCTCACCACCTGCCTCCATCCCTTGGGAGGATTCACACACTCCAGGAATCTCCTGGACTCTTTCCTCTCGCTATTGTGCTTCCCCATGAGAGCAAGGGCTAGCAATCGTGACCCTGCTCCTAGCTGCTTGTAGGCTGTCTCATCTCCCTCTTCGTCCTGGTTGCGTGCTCTACAACAGGCTCCCACCTTCTGTCAGCCTTACTGTCACCCTTTCCCCTGACTCTTCCTCAGGGACACTCAACCCTTTCAGCGGCACTGCCCAGCTCCAGGCTGGGAGGCCATTCCCTGACACCACAGGCTACCCCGTCTCCTCTCCCTCGTTCCTATGGCTGCATTGCTCCTCCGCCCCGAAGCATTTCCCTGGAGCAGGGCAAGGCACGGGGGCCTCTGCCGCTGTCCCCCCAGCCCTAGCACACCCCCCACTGCCCTCACTCACCTCTGAGGATTTCATTCAGCTTCTCCTCGCTCTGGTCCTCGCAGTAGCGCGCAGCAAGACCTAGACACAGAGACCCCATCAGAGCCCCGCTCCCCAGCACGCTCCCAGCAGCGCAGCCCCTGGCCTGGCCAGCCAGGCTGTGCCCCCTCCTGCACCCTGGAGCAAGGGCCCAGTCGGGGGGCTCTGGGGGCAACAGGGCAGTGCCTGGGGCTGCCAAAGACTGCCCCAAGAGGGACCCAGGGGCTGGGCTCACCAATGAATCTGACGGCCTCAAGTCGCAAGTCGGTCTGAGTGGCCTGCAGGTAGGGCTGGCTCTGCTGCAGGTATTCTTCTACTCTGCCTCTGTCCTGCTGCAGCTGGAGAGAGAGAGAACGCAGGGTCACGGGGCTTGCACACCCTCTCCAGGGTCTCCTCCAGCATCCTGGGGGCAGGGAGGGCAGAGGGGCCTGCAGAAGAGCCCCCTGGGGCTCTGTGCTGGCAGGAAGGGAGCGAGGATGCGGCTGCAGGCAGCGGGCTCTGGCCGGGCACGTTTGCCCAGCTGGGGCAAACCAAGTTGGGTCCTTACCAAGCACTCCCCGATCCTCCACGTCTGTTCTGTCTGGGCCAAGCGCTTCAGCTCCTTGCATCGCAGAAACTCTGCAGTCACGGCGAGAGCTTCCCCAGAGGCCTGCGGAGCAGCAGAGGTTGGGAGGTAGCAGCACAGCCTTGGGAAGGAGACCCTCTGTCCCCTCCTCTTGGCAGGGCTGCGAGCCTTTCCCAGCGCGTTATGGGAGGCTGTGGTGGGGGGCAGTGTGCACTGGGTTCAGTGGCCAAGGCAAGGCCACGGGACAGCCACCATCGGAGGCAGCTCATGCTGCCGGCCAGAGATCCCCCAGAGCAACCCTGTGGCATCAGCACACCCTTGCCCACATAACTGCTCAGCTCTGAGATCTGTACCTTTGCTACGCTCTCACTCTGGTCTCTCATGTGAAAGTAGAGTGGGAGAAGGCTCCTGTGAACTGTCCTCTTCATTTCCTTCTTCCTTTGCCGCAGCACAGCCTCCACCACGGTTTGGAAGAGGCAGATGGAGTGCTCCCGCATGTGGCTGGACTCCTGGCAGGGAGGAGGACAGGAGGAATTTCAGCATTAGCATGGCCGATGTGAAGGGAGCTCCCAGCACTGTGAGATGCTTCAGCGCTGGATCCTTCCCAGAGGAGCTGCTCAGGGGCAGCTGCAAGGCCTGGTGCCCGTGAAGGGCAACGCAATCGGTTGCCATCGCAGGCTGCCCGCCAGCCACCCCACTTTCGCCACCAGCCGCACCAGCCATGCCCAAGCAGAGCTCCCCAGCGCCTGGGCTGACGAGGAGACTGGGAAGGCCCTGCCTGAGTGCTGCCCACAGGGCCGGGCTGAAGGGCAGCCCTCGTTACAGGGGGCCCAGCTGAGGGCTCGGGCTCCCGCAGCACACTTACGTGGTCAAAGAATGGCAGGAGCTTCTCAGCCAGCTGCAGAGCCGGGCCACTGGCCTTCCTCCTCTCCACATGAGCCATCACGTTTTTCAGCACAAGCAGGGCCTTCAGCACCACGTGTGTGTTGGTGTCCTGCAGGGCCTCCAGGATGTCTGGCAGCAAGACCTGAATTTCCCTTGCCTGTAGGAAAGACACCATTTCCCTTCCGTGAGGCAGTGAGAGACCACCCTGGGCAAAGGGCTCTGGTTCCTGAGCACCAGCCTCCTGCCTTGCTTCCTGGCAGCGGGGAGGGACGGGAGGGCAGAAGAGCAAAGCCCCAGGCTGCCAACATGGCTTTGCTTGACGATGGCCCGCTCACCTTCTCAGGGCTCTCTGACACGGTGCAGAGCCCTTTCAGAACCAAAAAGCGCATCATTGGTCTTGGGTGCCTCAGGTAGCTCTGGAGGTGCACTGGGTTAACAAAGTCCTCCTCAGAAATGTGATTCTGGGCCAGCATCTGCAAGAAAGAGCAGTGAGAGCCTGGCAGGGCCTGCAGGGCTCCCTGCAGCCTCTTCTTCTCCCACCTTTGGGCAGGGATGGGGCAGCGCCAGCTGGCACCAAAGAGGCACCAGGCGCGGGGAGCTACGGGGGCTTGCCGGCCCCAGGGACCATGTGTCCGTACGTCCTGCGGGAGCTGGCAGTTTGGGGGTAGATGGGCACAGGGCTGTGCCTGTGTGCCTGAAGGGGCACACGTAGCCCTGCTGTGAGCAAGGTTTCATCTGGGAACTCACAGCCAAGCGACGGATGCAGGTGTCTTTGGTGACTTCGGTGCACCAGTTGCGCAGCGGCAAGTCTTGCATCATGATGTTTAAAACCCTCTCCAAGGTCTGCGGCATGGCCAGGATCACCTCCCACATGGCCAGGTCAGTGCTGCAAGCCCAGAATACTCTGTCAGTGAGGCTGCCTCAGCCGCAGGGCCACAAACTGGGCCAGCCCCGGAGGACCCAGGCTGTACTGCAGCCCCTGTGACTTGGGGAGCACTGAGGGCCCAGCCTGGGCAGGCAGGAGGGGGCTGAGCTGGTGTTCCCTGGGGGCAGGGGGACTCTGGGCTGCCTTGGACAGCTGGGCTGCTGCAGCCCTGGCTGGCCCAGTAGGGCTGGAACACATTGGTGGGAAGGAGGGCTGTGCTCCTTGGGGATGTCCTGCTCTTTGCCATTGGTGTGGCAAGCAGAGAGTCTCCAGGTGCATCTCCCAACACGGAACAAGCCCTCAAGGATGTTAAGGCCAGGACCTGTCACGTGGCGGAGAGAACTGCAGCAGGTTCTTGACTTCTTCCCTGGACATCTTTTTGGTCATCTGGAGAAGCAGGGAGTCCAGGCACTGCCGCGCCAATGCCGTGTGGATGCTGCCCAGGTTTCTCCTGATGCACTCCATGGTCTTTGGCACCTTGGGGGACAAAGTGGGAATGGTGTTGCCAGCAGACAGCAGCCATTGTCACAGCTGCCAATCAAACTTTGGCCCCTTCCATTGCTCTCTGCTGGCTTCAGGTGGCTTCTGGAGCCCAAGAGACCCCGATGTGCGAGGGAGGCAGGGAGGGAGGCAGGGAAGGAGAGAGGAACCACGCCTGGAAGAGCTCAAGGGCAGGGCCATGGCCACAGGCCACTTACATCTTTCAGCCAGTAGAAAGGGTCCTCCAAGGCTGCGTCCAGCACGCTGCAGGCCCCCTGCTTGTCATGGATGCTGGAGTCTTGTAAAGCTTCAAGGGCTGTGAGGATGATGTCCAGCCTCTCATCAGGGAAGAGATGTCCTCCAAACCCCTGTGGGAAGAAGGAGGAGCGAAGACATGCCTCACTGAGTGTCCCAAGGGTGCTGCTTAGCTGAGCAGCAAGGGCAGCTCTGGAGAGAGGGCCCTCGGGGGAAGGGGTGAGGATGGGGCATATGGGGCCAGAGTGCTGGCCCTGCAGGTAACCAGGGCTTGCTGGTGGCCAGGAGGGTGGAGCTGCTGCCGGGACACAGGGGAGCAGCCTTCGCATAGCCCCAGCCTGGGGACAAGAGGAACCCTCTCAGCAGGGCGAGTGAGGCCGTGCCAGCCCCACCGGTTCTGGACCCCTTTGCTCACACGAGATGCCTGCTGATGCTGCGGACAAGATCCCCAGCAAGGCCAGAGCTCATTACCTTGGCAATTTCACACGGAGTTGATGTTGTAGAAAATGGAAGTTTTGCATACTCCAATTTCTTGTGTCTCACTGCATAATATAGCATGTCCTCTCTCAATATGCATTCTAAACAGGGGGCAACAGCGAAGAGTCAGTAGGGAAGAGCATCTTTGCCAACAAGCTTGCCAAATGGTGAAAAGCACTTTCACTAGGAATGGCTGAGGAGGGAGGCTCAGACCCACGGCGAGGAGAGTGGTGGGCAGGGATGTAAAGCACAAGGTGAGGAGTGCTGGGAGCAAGAGGGACCTCAGGGATGATGCAGAAGGAGGAGAAGCAATGGCGTTGGGTGCCGTGGGGGTAGCAGCGTGTCACAGACCCCCTTCTGCTCGGGGTCAGGATGTGCAGGAAGCCCCCTGACACCTGCCTTTAAGACGGCAGGGAGCAAACAGTCAGGGAGCATTCTGGAGGGCGTCACCATCCCTGGTGATGCACGGCTGGCTCTGCTGTTCACTCCTCGGGGAAGATGCCGTTTGGGAAGTGCTCATCGATCGATGGCTTAGACTGGGGGACACCACAAAACAGCGTGGTAGGTGATCTGGGGAGGGTTGGGAAGGACAGCAGCAGAGAACTGCTCCTGGACGGCAGGTGAGCGTCTAGCTTCTGCGGAAAACGATAGCCAGAATGCTGCGGGAAGCTGCTGTGAGGAGCAGAGGAGGCCAGGGAACCTGGCAGAATTCCGTGGGCAGCCTCCACCAAGCACAAAAACAATCCTTCACAATACTCACAGAATCACAGAATGTCTAGGTTGGAAGAGACCTCAAGATCATCGAGTCCAACCTCTAACCTAACACTAACAGTCCCCACTAAACTCGGGGAAAACAAGTAGACAAATCAGTAGATGTTTGTGTGCAGACGGACGCTGCCCACCACACCTTCTTACCTCTTCCTTTTCTGATGATTTTGTATATGTGAGAAAGAGTTTCTAAAGCTGTGAATCTGATGGAATCTTTGTCACTGGTGAAAATGAAGAGGATGCCCAGCAGCTGTCCCAGGATGGGGATGTAGAGCTCTGTGGGCTCATCATCGCTATAGTTTTCATAGTCATCTGTGATCTGGGTGAGGAAGGGAGGAGAGACAAAGGGCTTAGTGGAGGCAGAGCCAGCCCCTGAGATAGCAGGGCCTGGGGAGGGAAGAGCAGGGGCGAAGGAGGGACGAAGACCCTCGATTCACGGTTCTGAGGCACTCACGTGCATCGAGGCTTGCCTCACAGGCACCCCTGAGTGGCAGGATGCTCTGGGATGCAGGAAAGGGTGGAGGGTTCCTTGTGCCTTACCTCGCTCACAAAATAACTGATGATGAAATCACCCAGCCTCTCAATCCTCCTCACAGCGCTCTCACGCACAGCTGAGTCTTTGGAGACAGCAAAGTCCAGCATCACCTGTGAGGAGAGAAGTTGCTGGGTTGACAGTGGTCTGCAAATGAGACCTGAGAGGATTCTTTGGAAATTCTTTGCAAATGCCAAACCTTCAACATATTCTCCAACTCTATGCTGACACTGGTGTTGGCACAGTTGCGTACGAAGCCCTCCAGCATGGTGTCCATGGCTTTCATAGTCTGCAGGGAGGACAGAAGAGCATCGAATTATTTCTGTGGCCCTCCTCACCCCCAGGAGCTGGCTCTGAGCCCCTCGGGAGTTCAGGGGTGGCTTTGGGGCTAAAAAGCTGCTGTGTGCAGACCTCCTGCAGCACAAGATCAGGTCGGGGAAGGGGCGAGGCTGGGAAAGCAAATCTGGGCCCCGGCCCTGCACTGGTCTCTGGTTGTGTCAGCACGGGGAAGCAAGGCAGCAGCTCAGCAGGACTGGGGGTGCTGGTACCTCACCCAGCACATACCTTGGCGTAGAGCACTCCTGTCTCTGGCACATCCGACTCCGGAGGCAGAAAGAAGATGCTCTTGCAGCACATGTTTAGGAGACTCTCCTTTTTGCCACACAGTGCTGTTGGTATGGTGTTGCTGAAGAAAAGAGAGAGAGGAGCCTGTTGGACGCAGTGCCTCGAGGCTTATGAAGGAGGACACGGACCTCCCTTGGCCAGGCATCCCTGGGAGGGACGGGCAGCCTCCCTGCCAGCTTCAGGGCCACCAGGACATTGCCACCAGGGGCTGGGCACGCACCTGAGGAGGGCGACAGTCTCCATGGCCTTCTGCCGGAATGCTGTGCGCAAGCTG